GAGAAAATTATTAGCTCATCATCTGGAAAAAGAAAATGATTTTAGCTATTCTTCGTATCTTTTTGTTGTTAACATCTGAGTATCTTGATTCAACATCTTTTTTGGAGAAAGAAAATTACAGGTTGTAGAATTTTAAATCAAAATGCTTTCAAGAAAACCATCAACAATTGTTCTTAATCGAGTCGAAATGAAAAATCACGTGATTTTTTTTAATTTTGAAATTGAAATTCATCTCATTCTTATATTTTCCATAAGAAACACATAAAAACAATGTTCCTTGTTTATTCAACTGAAGAAGATCTTTTTGCCGAGTTTTATAGGTACATCTCTGCCTCTAATATTTGTTTTTTCTCTTAACTCGGATTAACAAGATCCATACTTTTGAAGCTAGCCCGTAGGCTCTTATTTGATCGATGTCGTAATGACGATCATGAAACAAGTATACTTACAAAGCTCAAAGAACAATTCGGTTCGGTTTTTACTTCCAAGATGGAGGGCATGGTTAGTTAGATGAATTATTATCTTGCTTAACAAAGCTTTCTTTAGTGGCAAATAAGTATCCCTTTAATCTTTTGTACATTTACTCTGTTTTATATAGGTGACGGATATGAAATTGGCAAGAGAACAACAGCCGCATAGCTTCGAGGAGTATCTATCTAGCCACTAACATGACCGCAAACCCGGGGATTGGTTTTGGCCAAGTTACAGAACATGTGACCTCAATCTACCCACTGAAATGGTAACTCTTTAGTTTTGAGGTCTTGGAACGTAGAAGAAAAGATTTTCTCACCTCCAGGTGATATAGTATCTATACTTAGTTGATTTTCTTTATCTTTCAGGCCAAGTGTGTTGAAGTTTTCAAAGCATTTTATGAAACGAAAACCAAACATAGGAGACTTCAATGGATTTATTCTCTGGGAACTTGTCACGTTCTTGGAATTCGGTCAAAAACCAATCGAGTTAGTCGTTTCTACTTGCTAGGTATCTTTTCGTTTTTGGTTTGTTTCTTGTGATTACATAGCATATATTGATTGTCACCATTGATGGTTGTTATAGGCTGCAGTGCTTTTGCTTTTCAACAAGACGGAAAGATTAAGCTACAATGAGATGTTGGAACAACTTAACCTTAGCCATGAAGATCTTGTCAGGCTGCTTTATTTTATTGCCATGCGCAAAGTACAAGATTCTTGAAAAGAAACCAAAGTCAAGAAGCATCTCTCGATCGGATGTTTTCAAATTCAACTCCAAGTTCACCAATAGAATGCGGATAATTAAGGTAAATATATGAGTAAGAGCATCATTGTGTTATTCTCATCTCTGCCGGATTATAAACAAAGACTAATGACTAATGACGATTTTCTTCCTTATGTTGGTTAGGCCTAATGTTGGTGTGAAATTGGGAAAACAGATCCCTCTTCTTCCAACGGATGAGAGAAAGAAAGTAGTGGAAGATGTTGATAGAGATAGACGCTATGCGATTGATGTAGAAAAGTGTTGGGTCAACAACAGTTAGTTTGTGAGTGTGTTGAGCATCTTAGACGAGTGTTCAAGGTAAAACAAAACTCTCGATGGACACAAGAATTTAAGTAAGCAAGTTTCATATGTTGGTTTCTTTGTTTGTTTTCTTTTGCAGCCTCATAGAAAGATGATCAAGAAACGCATTGAAGATTTGATCAGCAGAGATGATTTGGAGAGGGATAACGAAAATTCTAACATTTTAAAGTACTTGCCTTAGTCTTAATCAAAATCAATATACGGAGAGACAAACGGGTCACAAAAGAAGAGCTATAGAGCCACGATCGCGATTTAAGCTAACAATTAGTTTGCTTTAGTTGTAGAAATTTGTGTGTGACATTTTAAATTTTAAAAATGAAAGCTTGATCGGTCATAATGTTCAAGAGTGTTTTGTATACCAATAAGAAGCAAAGCGGATCATTAAGGTGAAATTCTTCATTACTTTCAAAGATTGATGTGTTGCTCTCGAAAGTTTGTGATACTAGTTTTATTGTAGAATTTGGTTGAGGAGAGCTAGGGTTTATCTTGAATATGAAGCGAAAGATTATTGAGTTGGAAGAGTGCAAGATTATAGAGTTAGAGGAAGGATGGTCTTATATACTTACTTGTGTGACCAAACTGCAAAACATTCTACAAGGAAATCCTGAGCCACCATTTGACACTGATCAAATTATCTCTCTTTACACCACTATCTACAATACGTGTGTCCAGGAGCCTCCTCGTGATTACTCGCAGGAGCTTTACGATAGATATCGCCAAATATTCGAAGATTATGCTAAGCAAACGGTGAGTATTGTGGTATTGACTTCTCCTTTTTTAGACTTGAGCAGAGAGTTTGATATTTTGATGTGTGGTTAGGTGTTAGCAACTATATTCATAGCCGCCTTATATTTCTCTCTAGAAAATATTGGAATCCTTCGATCCACTGACCATTCTTCGAGAGTAGAGTAGTCTCGTGGCACAAAGTAGTTCCCTTTCTCGAGAACTACTACTCTAAGGCCTGACTTTGCTAGGTTTGCAGCTGCAACTCCTCCACCACAGCTAGAACCCACTACCACTGCATCACTCTCGATCTTGTAAGTGTCGCTCTCTCTGTCCTCTGTGACTTTAAGACCTTTGTTGATCATACGTTGCTTCATTATCATCTCATCTTCTTTTGCGGTCTCGATGATCCCTTCATCTAGAGGTCTTTCCTTCTGTTCAACGTCATCGTTTGTACCTATGTCCACGCCATAACCAACGTCATACACTCATACTACTGGAAATGTTGATCCAAAAGTTCCATAGTCTCTAACTAGACTAAATGTCTTGTTACAGAGAGATGCAGAGGAAGTTAGAAGATTATTAATCAAAGAGCAAAACCAAGATCAATTAAGAGTCGCCTCTTTTCCTTTTGTGTCCAGCTTGGTCGATTCGGACCAAACTTGGAACATAATTATGAATAGTTGCAGAAAATGCATTCCTTGTTTCTTTTCCAAAATCCACTTTTGTGACTTTACTATCCTCCCCGACAATGCATATCTTGTCGGAGAAGAACGTGTGCCTCCTACGGATCTTCATTAAGCTCTACGATATTTTTTTCGTCTTTTTTTTAGCATCGGGCCATTTGCTATAAGTCTGGTCAAAGTCATCAATTTTAAAATCAAGCAAGTTTTTTTGACACAAGTTTTAAAATCTTAATGAAACATGAGTTCAAAGGATTATTCAAAAGCAACATGACCAAGATGAATTAAGAAAAGCACAAGAAAAAAAAAAAGAGTTTACAACAAGTAGAGCTTATTGAAGATCATAGATAAATTAATCAAAGAGCATAACCAAGATCAATTAAGAGTCACCTCTTTTCCCTTTGTATGCAGCTTGGTTGATTCGAACCAAACTTGGAACATAATTATGAATACTTGGCCAACATCTCTTGATTGTTACTCGTCCAAAATCCACTTGTGTTACTTTACTATCCTCTCCAACAATGAATGTGTATCTTGTCGATATAACGTGTTCAACCCATCTCGTACAATTAATACACGAGGAGCTTCTTCTCCTCGTCTAGCATCATCCCAGATTCTATTATCAGTGCTCAAATCCAGTGATAAGATCATGCTCCACGACACCACTTTGGTCGTCCCTTGATCAATCTTATTCGACACCCATATCTCAGTCTTTGATGTAGGTTTTTCCTTTAATAACAAGGCGATCTTCTCTTCTCTGACAACGGAAAGAAKTGTAGATCTGTGAGTGTGCCAGTGACGKGGAAGAGGCATAGTCACAGATTTCTCAGTCGAGAAATCGAATTTGAGCAAGGAGAGGCTGATAYGTGTTTTGGCTAAGTCTGTGGCAAACATGTAAGCATTTCCTTTCACTGACACGCATTGATAAGAGAATGACAATGACAAGCCTGGAGCGATATCATAACCGAGAACCCTCCAAGAATCAGAGCTGAAATCGTACATCTCCGAATCATTCGGACAAAGAGCAGAGCACAAGATCTTGTAGCACTTGTTATTGCAAGATCTGAGATAAAAGGTTTGGTCTTCCCTTGGAAACTTGCTGGGTTGGATCCACCTGGTTTCACGGGTTAAAGGGTTCCAAACCACCATTCTAGATTCGTCTCCGGAGTTGCATAACAACAAGCCATCACAGTGAAAGACTCCAGCTACATCGAATCCAAAAGCTGGATTATAGGATCAATCAGTCTAACCTCCGGTTTGAGTTGTACAGATGGAACAATAATCGAACTGAAAAGCGGACTTGTTAGACTGATGCTCATCGAACATATATACGGTAGTTCGCCGTCCCCACGACAGAGAGAAACTGCTTTGGGGATTTATCAAGGTGCTTTCTTACGAATCTCATGTCTTTGTATAAACGGTTCCATCGTTGGCAAGTGGTTCGTGATCCTTTCAGATATGTCGCCGGAACACGACACAGTATCTCGTCGACCAAATCGTCCGGGAAATTCTCTGGTATCGACATCGATCTCTGAAACAACTATGGTTTCATCAATTAGTTTGGGCCCAACCATATCGGGCTTTTGGAGATAAACCCATTAAAACTAAATGGGTTTGATGCCTTGGAGAACAAGTGTTTCCAAACCGATCAGGACCGGCTAAATAACCGGAGGCTAATTTCGTTGACTGTACCGGTCTTCTCTCTCCTCTCCGCGTTTGAAAATGGAAAGAGAGAGTCCTCTTCGACTGTTACATATGGAAAGCGTTTCCTTTACATTCTCTCGAGCTCTTCTTCTACGTTTTTGTCACCGCAAGTTTGCCCTTTATGCGGAATCTCCTTAGCCAAACTGTGACAATGTCTATGGCGAGTTTGTATCGCCGGTCTCTTCCGTCTCCTCCGGCGATAGATTTCGCTTCTGTTCAAGGCAAGGCAAGTTTTTTTCGATCTATGGATTCGAATGAAAAGTAGGGTTCTGGGTTTTATTCTCTGTCTGACTTTTGTTTCTGATTAGAGACGATCAATGCTCTAGGTTTTCCATGGATTGATTTGGTTACTTCTTCGGGAACTGTGTAGAACAACTCGTAAAACCCTATATAACTCTTGTTGTTTTTGCGATTTTCATTGTTGGTGAGATCTGACTTATGCCTATTGAGTATTGATGAATGGTTCACGAATTAGTAAGCATCCAAGATTTTTTCCCAAATTTCTAGAAAACGGAGCCTCTCTGTGTCACTGTCTCTATAAGTGCGTGC